TTCCAAACTGCTCAGTGTAAAACCCCAGCACTGGGATGTCGTGTGAGTAGGACCCTGGATCAGGGCTCCCAGGGACCTTATTTGTAGGTGATAGGAGGAAGGTGTGTGTTCAGTCTGTAGACAGGCTCATCCTGACCAAGTTCACACCAACATCTGTGGACAAGCTTCCCCAGACCAGGGCCATTCTTCCTAAGTCAAGGGCAAGTCAACCCTCCAGGGTGAAGAGAATGAGGAGACCAAAAATATATCTGAACCCCCAAACTGTTTTTTAATACTTACACCACTTCAATGAGGATGTTTTCTGCAATGCTCAATTTCTGCAATCTGGGGATAAATTAAGAAGCATTGTGTTTACATAAAATTTCAGTCCCCTAAGGTTGAGAATAGGCTGGGAAGAGGGCAGAAGGCCAATCAGTCAATGATGGTGCTTATCAAAATTCAGTCTCGAGATCTTGTTGAGATAAACTAGGAATTTAACTAACCAAACAAGGCAACTGTGCATACTCCCTTTTTCCAACTCACAGTACTCGTTCGTGGTAACGCCAGGGCAGCTGTCTTAGTCATTTCAGATTGTCACAACAGAATACCATAGACTGGGTGGCAGATAAACAACAGAAACCTATTCTTCCTAATTCTGGAGTCTGGGAAGTCCAAGATCAAGGCATCAGCCAGTTCCGTGTCTGGTGAGCACTCCCTTCCTGGTTCACGAACCTCTGCAGTCTTTTCACAGTGTCCTTGCGGGGCAGCAGGGGGAGAACTCTGATTGCTCCACCCTCACTCCCTAAGCACCTGCCAAAGGCCCCGCCTCCTCATACTATCGGTTGGACCGTTAGGATTTCACTGTGTGAATTTCAGAGGAACACCTTTAGCCCACAGCAGTGGCTAACACCCATTAAGTCAGCCAGCCCCTACGATAGGTCTAGAAGCTGGATGTCTAGCTGCTTAGTCTGTAGCCAGACAAGTGTATCAACATGTGCGTCCAGCTCCCCTAAGTGAAACATTTCAGTGACTCTTGTCTTTTGCAAAATAAAGCCCATGCTCCTCAACGTACATTGCCTGGTGTACAACTCAGGTCGCCCACCACTCCTGCCTCATGGTTCAAAGGCTGAATGGAGCGTAGTGTTTCTACGGCGTGTCTTGCTGTCTTTATCCTAAAACTTCTATTTCCACTCATCTTCCAAGACAAAGTCCGAGTCTCATCTATAGGAAGCCCTCATCTAATCCCCAAATTTGGGCTTAGAGTGTCTCCTTCGGCCATTCACACTGCTCAGCAGGCGTCTCCAGCACAGCATTTACCGTCTTTAATGAGCTCATTTATTGTGTCGTTCTCCTCCTGAGCCTCCGTCTGTGCATGCGGCCACCCAGGGGCAGCCAAATATGTGTTCATTAAGCTAATTAGGTATTTCTTAGGGGTTGTTCCGAGTCAGTTTCAGATACTTGTTTCTTAACCTCTTCCTCGCATTACTTTTGATCTTCCTCAGGCATTTCCTATTATGTGGGCAGTTCTTCCTGTGCACTTGATAAGGACCCTGAGATAATACCTGTGATAGTAGCCCTGGGACAAGGCTTGCTGTGTAACACATCTGAGTGTTTCAGCTCACACGCGAGTCACAGTGCTTTGAGGAAAACTCATGTGCTCTTGGAGCCGACCCCTCCCCAATGGCTTCTCAATATCCCCAAATCATTGCATTTTATGAGCAGCACATAGAACTTCCTGTTGAGGACAGTATCCTCTCTGTGTCGCCCATCTTTCGTTCCCTCCCATAAAACTGCGTCTTGCACAGGGCGGGTGAACGGCTGAATCCTGTTTATCTCCCTCTGGAACAATCTACCTTATTTTCTCAAAAGTTGTTTATTTTCTCTCCCACCCTGTTCCCCAACACCTGGGGCTGGAACGGACAGTTTCGTCTCTCCAGACAAATACCTAGTCTCCCCATATCTTAAAACGCTCTGTGGTCAGTGTGGTGTTACACCTACAACTGCAGGTATGAGAGCCCTCTGCAGAGTGCAAGGGGGTTCACTTGTAAGCTGTTTTTTCATTCACAGAAAACTGGCTTCTCCCACGAGAGTTGCGGCTTTTGCATTTGGCACACGGAGACTTGCCAGTGAATAGCAGTTGTATAAATGACTGAGTATGTTTAAACAAAATGACTCTTCCTGGTGAAGTGGTATTTGTCTCACTGTTCGGTTCTAGTGAATACATTGTCTCTGTTAAAGCCCTGAAGTAGCTTATACTGGAGGTAACGGCAGAGTTCACAGAACTGACTTAACTGTGTGTTAGACCTTTTTACGTCACCCACCTGGGCTGACTTAGAACAATGCAATCCTTTCATTCAGACACACCGTTTTGTTTGTTTGTTTGCTAATGATTATATTGTAGAAAGATATATTTCAAAAAGCATTGTGAAAGAACAAATTATAGAATGACTGAATGCGATGCACGGCTACATGTGTTATCCCTGTACAACTGTGGAAAGCGCTATTCTCAGAGGTTGTGCTGTCAATGGCGCCTCCTACAGGTGGGCAGTGCAAAACTGCCAACTTTAATTGATACCCCTTCCCTCAAAAGAACTGGTGATAATTAGGTGTTCCAACCAGCACAAACTGAAAATGTGCAAAAACAGAATGGTGTCGCTCAAGCCTTCTGGGGAAATTTTAGATTAAGGAAATAACCTCAAAATGCTTTGCATTTCTGTATCTTCGAAGCTGTGAAACACCTAGTACTGTCTGCAGAGCAGAAGCAGCCGAAATCGGGAGGTGCGCTCGACCACAGCCACAGATGGGAAGGAATAATGAGCATCAACAGTTCATATTGCTCTAGGAATATGAAGCTGAAAAATTATTTTTCTAGCAAGTCATTTAGAAATTTTTAAGACAATGGTTTGTCATTAAAATGACTTCTAGACATAAAAGATCACTTGAGATAATCCTCAACTGACTTGATACCAAGGCCCAGTATGGGAAGAAAGAAAATGACTCAGTATGTAGGTAGTATTATGTCTAAAGCTATGTCCAAATTTTACACGAAGCAAAATACGTCCTTTGGTGAAACCATAGGATTAGTTATAATAGTTAAGGATAGAATATTATTACTAAATTTGTAGCAAGCACATGATGAAACAGAACTTTTATTTTTTATTTTATTAAAGAACTTTTAAAAAAGATTTTATGTGTTTTTAGAGAGAGGGAAAGGGAGAAAGAGGGGGAGAAACATCAATGTGTGGTTGCCTGTCTCACACCCCCTACTGGAGACCTGGCCTGCAACCTAGGCATGTGTCCTGACTGGGGATTGAACCCAGGACCCTTTGGTTTGCAGGCCAGCACTCAATGCACTGAGCCACACCAGCCAGGGCATGAAGCAGAACTTTTAAATGATAAGTTTGGATGAAATAGGGAACAAAAGACCTGCACTGGCTTCTATAACAACTGGTATAACTGTGATAATTATAAACTACACTTTAGTCCTCACACCCTCAAGTGTGATTTAATGAACAGATTAACAAGGAGCAAAAAAAAAGAAAGAGACTAACATTTAGAAAAGGCCTATTTTATGCCATATACTATGCTAGATATATAACTATTACTGATTCCTTTAATTATCATAATTACCCTGAGAAGTACACATTGCCCTCGTATTTCATTAAACATGTGCTGAATTTCTACAAGATTATAAATGCTCATGATCACCCAGTTAGAACTCCCAATTTATTTTTAACTCAAATATTGTGCTAATTCTACCATACTAGGATGACCCCTCAAATATAGCACGGTAGGTATAAAATTTAGGGTTATTTTAAAAGAGATGAAAGGAACTAAAATAAGAAGCAACAAACTCTGTCTACTGGTAAAATACTATTTGCTGTGGTTGCTAATGGCCTAAATGAGGCACGTTACCCATTTTTTTTTAATAAGATGTTGTTTATTTAAAGCAAAGGAATTTTGAGGGTCAGATTTGATAGGTTCTTACTCAGGACTTACTGCTTTTTTTTAAAAAAATTTTATTTAGTTAGTTTTCAAGTACAGTTTTTTTGTCTATTTTTCCCATCCCAGCCTCCCCCGCCCCTTGCTCCCCACCTCCCTCCCATTTCCACCCCCCTTAGTTCTCGTCCCTGTGTCCTTCCTATTTGTTCCTCCAAATCCCTCCCCCATTTTCCCCTTAACTTCCCTTCCTTCGCCCCTCGCACCTTACCCATTTTTAAAGCTCATTGGGTGCTGCTTAATAAAAAGACCCTTTGTTTTCTCTTTGCTCAAGTCGCTTTCAGAAATGATCTTTAGAACTGTCTTGTACTTACCATGACAACCGTTTCTCTAAATGTCACATTGACTTAAAATGCTCCCAAAATGTTCATGAGTGAGAGAACTATTTGGTTTGGACAAAGATATGGACATGGAAATTAAAAGTGTCCAAGTAAGATTAGATACCACCAACTGGAAAAGTTACACATGTGTATTATAAATAATGGGGAGCCTGTGCTGCTTTTGTTTCCGTTAAAAGTTTTTTCCATCAAGTCATACTTCTCTCCTACTGTCCTTATTTCATATCATGCAAAGACAATAGTAATCTGCAGACGAAAGTAAAAATTAATGTTAAATTACATGGGCTGACTAATAAGTTCCCTGCACGGATTTTCATATAGTGAGGAACGATGGTGAAACTAACAGGTACTGTGCATAAGCATTTGTTTCATGCTAAACTCTGTGAGAGCCCCTCAAACATTATTGCATTTAAATCCTGGAAACATCATTGAGCTAGGCTTTCTTGTCTCTGCATTAAGGAGGAGGGAGCTGAACTTAATGAAATGGAGGAACCTGCCAGAGTTACCCAGGACAGACTGAGGTCTGGTCTGGGTGTTGGCCCAAGACAGTGTTTTTAACCACCGCTATCATCTGTTTAGAATTGGGTATTATTTTGCCTACCAGGATTTATTATTTTTATTTTTTAAATAAGCAGCTAATACTTGGAAATTTCTTCCCATTATTTTCTTTTTTTTTCTTTACAGGGAACCAAAGTCCTGCAGATGTTCATGTGGTATCTGAATCCACGGCAAGTCTTTGATCTTTCTCAGGAAGGGCCAAAAGATGCGTAAGTCTGGAAATACCCTCCGTGGTCCGTACTATTTTAGGCAAGTGAGAAGGACTTCCTGCTCTGGTGTTATTTGGTTCCCTTGTGAAATATTTTCTAACCGTCTCTCATCTACTTTCTCATCCATCCTGTCGTTCCTTTAAAACCCTACCTAACGTTTCCCCTCTTACCCTTTCTTCATTGTGTTAATTCCCTTCAAAACCCATCTTCTCGGCTGTTAACTCAGTGAGTGTTTCTGGTGTGTTGGCTGTGTCTGAATGTGCAGCTGTAGATTGGGAGCAAGCCTGGGAGCTGAGAAAGGTCCGTCACTTTTGCTTATGCATGCACAACTTTGGACATGTCCATTCATAGAAATGGCAGTGTGTCTCTGCAGACTGCAGCCATGTTTGTTGCAGAATATATTTGTGTGTTTGGATTAGAGGTTCTGCGTGCACATCTGTGTCCATTTGAGAGACTGACTGATTAATTGATTGTACCTATGGATTTCACATCGGAGAGGAGAGACATTTTAATTCCCGCTCAATCCCGTTCTGAGCTTCTCAGAAATAGCATGATCTGTTTCTGTCAAGACTGTTGAGAATAAAGTCTTGATGTAGGTGACGTGCATCTCATTTCTCCCCTGGGGTGCAGGGAAAGGGCAGAGACATTGTCACGGCTCTCTGGTTCCCTTGTAAAGCCCACCTATTAAGATGCTTTGAATGTCATCTGATGAAGATTATAACTTAAGAGATACTCATTCTTTTTAAATAGACAACTATCAGACACAAAGAAATATCAGCTCATTACACCAGACAGCCGACAGGAACCTGTTAACTGTAATGAATGTATTTTTCCCTTTGCTTTTGACCCTCTGGATAGGGACCCTATGGATAGTTACAATGCCAGATTTACAATGTATTCAAAATTGTATTAAGTGATATTTTGCTTTTTGTAAGACTGTTATAAAATAAAGCTTGTGCTCTAAAAAATACTGGCTTAGGTAATTTCTAGGTAAACATAATTCCTGTAGGAAATCAAGAAATTATGTATATTTAAGCACACAGAACATTTCAATGTAAAAATTAATCTCTGCTGACATCCTCTTAATCTGTGAACACTGTTGCCACTAGAGGGCGCCATGAGACTTCTCTTTTTTTGTTTCTTTCTTTTTCTTCTGTCTTTGGATATACAGGGGCAAATCTGGTACCCTGCCTTTTGCCCTTACATAGGCTTAGTTTTCTTAAGATTGTATTACTTTAGTTAGACTGTAGGTGTATGCTTCATAGATTGGCATAAAGAACATGGCAGGACAGAAAATATTTTCAAAAAATATTATTTGATTTGAATAGATGTAGTTTTCTAGAACAGAGCCATTAACATCTTTACTTCGGCAAATATTTTAGCAGACAGAAATGGTGTCACGGTTTTCTTAAGAGGCAACATGGAAAAGAAAATGATCTAATTTTTGGCAGCCAAATTTAAAAATAAAGAAAAATCAGGGACTGTTCCCCCTTTGGACGGAGGCATATATATGGGTTTGGCTGTCAGTGAGTTGAGAGGCGGAAGGAACTGGGGTGGTCACAGTGTGAGGCATCCCTCCCCGCCTCTTTGAAGAAGTTTGCCCAGGATCCCGAGTGGGCAGTTTAGGTTTGAAACAGTGAATAAACCCACAAAAAGCTAATAAAAGACAAGGGGGAGATATCTAAGGCCTGCTGATTGCCAGTTGATGATGATTTTCTCTGAGAACAGAGAAAGGACAATGATGGGGAAAGAAAAAGAAGAAAGGAAGTCACAGCCAATGAGGGAGATAACGCGAGCTGACCCAGTAACAGGAATTATGGGACATAACACCGTTGGCCATCCTAGAACCCCCTTCCAGGGTTGGCTATTTAAAAATGAGCTTTGCTGCTCACCTCTGATCCAGCCGTTGGAGGCAGTCCTCTAGTGATCACTTGGTATGATCTCATGATTATACATTTTCTCCAGGGGATGTCCCTTCACCCCCATTTTTCCCTGTGTTTTCTCTGTGATGTGGATAGTGATGTGCTTTGCTGCTAACTTTTTCTTCCATTTCTTCTGCAGGCTTGAGCTGTATAGGAAGGTACCAAATCTGCGAATTCTGGCCTGTGGTGGGGATGGAACGGTAGGTCCTTGAAATAGAATCCATCTCTCACCCCTACTTCTTCCACCTTTCTTTTGTTTTCCTTACAACAGTTCTTTTCACTCATTCCCTCTTCCCTCCCTTTGCCACAGTCTTTCCAGTGCCCTAAGGCATCATATGTCTCTGTCGTGTGAGTCAAAACCATTCAGGGTTAGGGGGGCTTTGTCGTTATCCTCACAAATTCAAACTTAGTCTTTCTAAAGTGCACCCCTCCCTCCGCTCTGCTATATCCTCTCCTATTTCGAGAGGTAGGGATGTGGTCGGGCCACCAGAATGAAGACGACGGACAACTATGTTCTTCTGAAAACACAAACTGACCTGTTCAACTGGTTCTTAATAGTTTCTCACAACCGTTACAGAGAAGTATGTGCACACGGTAGAATTACTGCAATTTTTTCCAGCGGAAAGAAAACGTAAACTATTGGCTGACATTGGGTTGTCTTAAAGATCCTGGGTTTGGTTCCATTTGTGGTCATTTTTGAAGAAAAGACGGAATTGGGCTGAAATTTAATGGGTATACTTTCCTCCGTTCATGTGTCTCATCTATTTCTCCATTTGCCCTCTATGTCTGTTGATATATGTATGTCGATATATCAACATACCATGACACGCTGATTCTGTCTTTTTATTCTGTCTTTGAGCTCTGCTCTCATAGGGCCCAGGCTTTTACTATGAACCGTCTGTGGCTTTCCTCTAATTTCTCGAATTAGAATCTTATTCTCAAAGTAGCGATGAAATCTCCTCATTTTCTTCCCTCTCACACATGAGCACTTAATGCAATGTTGCATACACACCATACACCAACAAATGAAATGGGGGAAAAAACAAGTCCTGGTCCTTCAGGAGACTCTGGGAGAGAAAGACGTTGTTGCGTGCATGTAACAACACTGTTTGCCATTCTGAGAGCTTCGCAGTGCGCATTACTAGCTTATAAGATTTAAATCGTACAGCTTATAAAATTGAGTCTGACAGCAAAGAAGCCAAGCCTGTTTCCCCTTGTTTAACCCACTGTTTTCCAAAATTATTGGACTGTGAAATTTTTTTCTCCCACAATACCAATTACATGTCAATCCATTGTAGTGTAGGTAAGATAATGTGCAATTTTCCCAACTTTCTTTAGTAACAATTAGGTCCAAACAAATCCTCTGTGGAGAAATATATATTATTGATTAAATTGCTAGATGATAAATCAGTTCATAGATACACAGTCCTCTTCCTCGTTCCACCACCCCCCAGCTGGTTACTGTCAATCAGAAGATAAACTCATTTGTGGCCCTTTACTCTGGCCGTCTGCTTTAGTTTAGAATCTCCTTGCCTCCCTATGTGTCTCAAGCCTCCCACTCATTCTTTTGTCCCCTGAATCACAGTGACAGCAGCACGCAAGTTGAGGATATGCCTGGTGCCCGGAATTCATAGTTCTTCCTCTTTCTTAAGTGACCGTGACCTCAAGTCCACGTCAGCTGCCTATCCCATCCTCGTGTCTGGGGCTTCCTCATGGGGTTGGGTGCTCCACCTTCCAAACTTCCCCATCATTCGCTGAACCTCCCATCACCCGTGCCGCCCCCCCCCGCCCCGCACTGCTTTCTTCTTCCTTCCCTCTACTCAGCAGATGCGTAGGAAGCACTGTTTTTATTCTACATTATATGGTATTAAGGCATTCTCTGAAATGAAATAAGTATTTAAAACCACGGGATTTTAAAGTGTACAGGACAAAGAGAAGACAGCCAAGTTCAGACATTTGTGAACACCTATAATTATGGAGTCTGAGCCAAAATTCGAAAGGAAAATGAAAAGATAGAAGTAGGAGGTAGTCTATTCTGTCAAGGAAACAAGAAGAAAAAACAGGAGTTTCAAGAAAGAGGGAGTGGTTATACCCTTCAAGAGAGACTGGGGAAGTATCCTTGAATTTGGAGACTAGGAAGGAACTGGCGGTTTGCAAGAAAACAGCTTCAACAGGGTGTCTGGGGCTGAACCCAGAGTCATGAGTAGGCGGGACTCGGTGCCTTACTAATGAGTCCTAATGACCAGATCCAGTCCCAGCACTGAGTCCCTATGAACACACTCTGGTGCCATAATGTCCTTCTTGACTTGTAGACTCTTTGGTTTTCCTCCTTTTCTTATCATACCTTTTCTAGCATTTCTTCTTTAATGATAGTAGAATTAACAGATAGTCTGCAAAGCTTAAATATAACTTTTCTTTTATGTTCTAGATACTTTTTTTGTCTGAGGGGCCTAACCTCGGTTTTCACACCCTTCCACATAACTCACGACTGCTCCGGGCATTTAGATGTGGGTCCCTTGTCCTAAAACAAAAGCAGCACATCTATCCTTTAGCTGCTGAGGCATGCTTTCGAACTAATGATTTCTGCCTACAGTGACCTCTGTGGTCCAAATGGCTCAGAATCAAAACTCTGATTATTTGGTGCCTTATGTAAAACCGGGGAGGATTCCTTTTAGTTTACTTTGTTACAAGAAAGTCTGTGGTGAAAGGTAAATATATGTAATCTATAAAATGTTTATCAAGGTATGTGATTGGTGTCTTCAATTTTATCAGTTGAGAATATGGAACTTAGAATTTTTATGGGTGGGGGGTGGACAAAGTTTGCATAAAAAAGAGGCACCCTGACAGGTACATGAAGAAAAATTGCTGGCTTTAGGGAAGGGAAGTATAATTATCGAGAACGTCAGGTACGTGTTTGCCATAAGGTATTTAGCCCTCAGTTAACATGCCTGTCACTACAAAGGCTGTCGGAATTCTGTCAGTACAGTGACGAGGTTCAAGGAGGAATCAGAAGTGGCAGAGTTTTGACTGATCAAGATGAGGAGATATTAACCATCAATCATATTGATTTAAATGTGCAAAGTACTACTTAATATATAGACATCTTGCACGGATTTGGAAAAACGTTCTTAGGCTTCAGTGTTAGTTTAGTTTTATGTTACTAACAAATACAAGGAGGCAGATGATGGATCTTTCAATGGTGCTGTGGGAGGTGAAAGAGGGGGGTCTGCCCCTATGTCTGTGGTCTTCGGCGGGTTCCCTGACTTCTTTTGGGACATTCTAGATCTGCATAGGATACAATGGGGCCTCCGAGGTTCTTTACAGCTGTAGCTTTATAAATCGTATTGACCATTGCTGTTCAAGAGAACTGTAATGTGAGCCACATTTCAAATTTAACTTTTCTAGAAGGCACTTAAAAAGAATGAAAAAGAAGCAGGTGAATTTTTTTCCTTTTTATTGAATTGATTGGGGTGACCCTAGTTAACATGATTATGTCAGTTTCAGGTGCATAATTCCACAACACATCATCTGTATACTATACTGTGTCCTCACACATTTTTATTATACAGTTTATTTAACCTAACATGCCTAAAATATTATCATCTCAAAATGCAGGCAACATGAAACTCATTAATGAGCTATTTTATGTTCAGTTTGCACTGTCTTTGAAATCTGGCATGTGTTTTATAGTTACAATGCCTCCAATTCAGAGTAACCACTTTCCAGTGCTCAGTCACCGCGTGTGGCCAGGGGCTGCACGCTTGTCTCTCCGTAATGGGTTAGCAGGATCCTCAGGTTGTCACATAGGTGCAGGAATCACACGAGCTGGTCCCATCCTTGATCTAACTCAGCTGACTCCAGCCTTCATGTTTATAAACTGAAAGTAGTCATTCTGTGGTCATGTAGTAAATGGGTATTCATTCCCTTTGTTGGCCACATTTCCACCCATCCAACTTGGCTGAAATACTGAAGAGCACGTGAACCTGGACACTAAAGGCACACACATGTACCCTCCTCTTCTGATGGCACCTTCAGGTGTGACATGATCCCTAGCTATCTGGCTCTGACCTTGATGAGGTGGGCTGGACCAACAGATCCATCTGTAATCATGTTAATGTCTTCCCAAAGGCCTAGAATTAAGTTGACTCTAGCCACCCCCTTTATGTGTATTTCTTGTTCAGTTGGCTTCTCTAGGTGAGTTACACCCTGAACAGTTGGCATCCCCAGCCCTTGACTCCCTGCAGCCGTAGCAGGGAAGAAAATAGTGTGTCCCTTTACTTGACAGGGGCAAGCAGCTCATTCCAAGTCCCTCTGCTCCCCTGGGCTCAGCCTCTCCCAGGTAAAATGGGATGTATCCCATCCTCTGCCGAGACAAAGCACGTGGTACCCCTCAGTAATAGCCATTGTGATAAGTCATTTGAACTTTCTCCTTCAAAAAGCTCACACCTGGACTCTTACCTTGATTTTATTAGGGCTGATTTTCAACATCTCTTTTAACACGTGGGGACTTTTTAAACTCCTCAGTGCAAATATAAATTAAAATACAAAGGGGAGAATCATAGCGAACATATTAGAAAGGGACACCCCGTTGTTAAATGCTGCCTTGATTATCTTTCAGAATTCAGAAACTTTGCCCTGTTTTTCTCTGGTTTCTCAGTATGCATATCTTCCATTTTTCTTCCTTCAGGGAATATAAGAAAATGCAAAGTATGTCCTGTTCAAAGATTTCAATTCACTGCCCTCTCCACCCTTGAGCCATTGCTAATGTTACCAACTATGAGAATAGTGCTCCAGATGAACTTGGGGGACATTCAGTGTCAGCTAATGCCGAGCGTGGACAGGAGGTGGCAGCATTGGCCAGCTGCTACTGCAGTGGCCTGGTTAGGCTGTTTGGGGACAAACCTGGGGGAGCTGGGATTCCAGATCCTCCTGTCTCACTCTTCCTGACACAAAAGAAGGAAAGGACTCTACAAATTGGGAAATGATTTCACCCAATTGGGATAATTTCCTTCCATTATGGTGGAAAATACGCCGAGTGCTAGGTATTGCAATTGATTAAGTCATTTAACTGAAGAGGTAAAGGCCCCAGCAGACCCAGTCCCTGCCCCTGAACTTGCTGTCTGGACCTCTATCAGGGACCGGTTCCTGGTTACCAGGAAGGGAGGGCCTCCAATGAACAGCTCCGAGCCTAGAGGTATTTTATGCACTTTTGCTCAAAGTCCTTTGAAAATTATTTGTATTTAATATGCTGTGAATTAATCCCCTGACCTTCCCATCTGTTAGGATTCTTTCCCTGATCTAGAATTTTTCTTTGCAGGCTCATTTCCAGATTCTTTTCTTTCTTTGCATCTTTTCTTTTTTCTTTTCTCTTCTTTTCCTTCTTTCTCTTTTCCTTCTCTTTCTCCCTCTTTTTTAGGTTGTACTTATTTCTAGAAAGAGGGGAGATGAGGGAGCAAGAGAGGGAGAGAAATATTGATGTGCAAGAGAAACATCAATCATTTGCCTCTTGTTTGCACCCCAACCAGGGACAGAACCTGCAACCCAGGCATGTGCCCTGACTGGGAATCAAACCAGCATCCTTTTGATCTGCAGGATGATGCCCAACCCACTGAACCATAGCAGCCAGGGCTCCTTTCTAGTAGTTTGAATGGTTTCCAGGTATCTGAAGCTATTTTTCTGTGTGTGGCTAAGGCTCCCATCCTGAGGACATGTCAGGGTGTTTCAGCTATGTCTGAGCTAGTGGGAAATTGGACGAACTATTAGACAGGCTTTCTCCCTCCAGCCCTAACAGGTCTCAACTTTCTATGGGCTATGGCCCCAGGCTGTGTGGTTCTTTACACTTTTATTTTGGGGGCCAAGAGGGAGCCTGGTTCCTACCCTTATTCCCCATCATCATCGGACAGAAGCCAAACTTCTGGCTTCCTCTGCTTGCACCTTTGTGTTTTGTTTGTTTGTAGCCCAGGAAGGTTTTTCTTCTTCCATGGTTGTGTCTAGAGTGAAATGGAATATTGAAAGTGTGAACTCATAACATGCTCTTTACCAAAAAAAGAGATGCCTATTTCAATTAACCATAAGGAAAAAAAGTTTTTAGTTTAAGTCTACCCCAAAGAGACTGGACCGACTTGTGAGTAGAACCCACAAAGTGGAGGCTACATGGTAGCTCTGAGACATTTTAAAGAGCCTGCTCTCTTCTCCCTTCTCAGAATGGGGTGGTCAATTAGATCGCCACTGAGTCGCATTGCGGCGTTATGGAGAGTCTGGGTCTGCTCCGGGCTATTTGCGCTTGTGGTCAAAGATCCCTGATTGCTGGGATTTCTGAGTTTTCACATCCTTTTTAGTGACCTTTAAACTTCCTTTTTGTACTGCATTAAAGGTGCCTCCTTTTACTGAGTTTCGTGTGTGCTTTCAGCAGCTCCAGAACCACATGTAGCCCAGTCACCGGCCACAGTTGAGCATCTGGTGTTTCCGCCCTTTGACGTCCGTATTTGATAGGAAGCTTTGTTAGTATTGCATGTGAACGAAGCGTTGGAAGTGCCAGGGCAGAATCTAAGGAGTTGTCTACGAGTGAACTTCCCAGCTTGGGGGAAGGGAGGGCCTTTTTGACACTTGTAGAGAGATCTGGATTTCTGATTTACCAGACTGGGGAAACATCTGTGCTATACCTTTCTGGAAGGTTAACACAGTGTGAGACTTGTTGATAGACAGGCATGGTTTTCATCCTGGGAAGCAACCATTGTGGAGGAGAAAAGGTTTAAGGTAGAAATGAACAGATTTGATATGACTCCCACTCTTCATACTATTTACTCTTGAGCCAATGACATGACCTCTCTGCACCCCAGTTAATAAATAGATAAGCAAATTAACTGGATTTGAATAAGCAATTTCTACGTTTCTTCAGTGCTCCAAAGATTCCCAAAATGCATGCATGCCACTGTTTCCAGGATAGTCAGGTTCTGTTTAGAGCTAGGTTTAGTTTTCTGTTTAAAGGCTCCCTGCACCCGAGTGGCTAAGAGGTTGGCCTTTGATGGTTGGCATACTTGACTTTGAACGCTGGCTACCACATCAGTGATGCGACATTAGGGAGATCACTGGACCTTCCCAGTGTCAGTGTCCTTATCTACAAAGTGGAGATGAAAATGACATCTACCTCGTAGAGTTGTTTTGAAGTGTAATGACAGTTCATTAGAGAACCTTGCTCAGGGACCAGCACATAGAAATCAACCAGCAGCTCACTCTTTTTGTCCATTAGAATCTCTGTGAGAGCAGGAATTCTACCTTATCTGTCTTAGCCCAGCTCATTTATGTTTTTATTTCAATTGCTTAGTTTTTTATTGATTTGTTTATTTATTTATTTTTGGCAGGGAGAAAAAGTCGTTTTATTTTAATTTCACACTTCAAATTCATACATAAAAAAGAAAGAGTACATACTTACAATGCATCAGCAGCTGCAGAGCAGGCCATGCAAAATGGAGGAAAGAACAAAAATTTCCCAAATAATCAAAATCGGAACTGTAGCTTATCAAATTCTGTTATTTATATGCAACAATGTTCAATAAATATAGTGTTAAAATACAATTTTCAAAAAAATTTTCCAAAAACTTGACTCACAAATATGTAATCAGTACGTGTCAAAATTTATAATGCAATATACAGATGACATATTATAGAATTACATACTTGAAACCTATATTTTATTAACCAATGTTAATGAAGGAACCAACAAAACCGTAATGCTGACTTTTTTTGAGAAGTAAAAAAAAGAATTTTGTACTTTAAACCAAAGTAAATTTTCTAAGTTTGAGACAAAATTGGTTTAGGTCCCCGGGAGGACTAAAACTATAACCTTTAAAGTAATCTTTTCAACATTTGTTTCTCCATAGGACAGAAATTTTCAAGTTAACCTGTAGTTATATGGTCCTTAGGCCTGTTAAATACTGCTCTAGTATGACATTGTGAGGATATTCATGTTTGTTTTTGCTCTTTTCAAGTTTGGGATAATTTCTCTAAATAGTTACAGTAAGGCTCACTCTTAGAAAAAAAATCACACAGGAATATAATTCTAGTATATAAGTATTTTAATTCTAGTATATAAGTACTAGGTCTAGCCCTAATTATGTTTCATAATGCTTCATTAAGGGGAATATAAGGGTATTTAGGAAAATACCACCAATTTCTAAGACAGTATGATGGAAGGGAACTATTTAACTGGTGCTCACATGGGCCATGTACCATATTAACAGCTTTTATACATATTTTACTCTATAAACAATCTCGTGAGACAGGTATGATTATCTCCATTTTGAAAATCAGGTAAATGAGCCTCAGTAATGTTAGATAATGTAATCAAGATTACAGAGCCAACATGAGCCAGAACTGAAATTCAGTCTGATTCTGAGTCCTGCATCCCCTCTAGTGCCCTGTGTTATATGCTTCCCTACATTTTAAACTCTCTTAAACTGTCAAGTTCATTTCCAGTTAAACACACAGACGAATGGGTCTAGTTTTGCTTATATGACAGAGAGTGTACAAAACGGTCCATTTCCCTGTGAGATCCTTGCCACTTTGAAACTGCCTGAGATAAGAGGTCTTTCTGGACACTGGATTGAAATATATATATATATATATATATATATATATATATATATATATATATTTTTTTTTTTTTTAAAGAAAAATAAAAGCCTTTGAGTTTGCTGTTTAAAGCTGCCTCCTCCCAGGCTGTCTTCCTTGTAACTTACCTATCTTTCTTATCACTCTTCTGGCCCCCGATCTGTCTGTAGGTGGGCTGGATCCTTTCAATTCTGGACGAACTGCAGCTGACCCCACAGCCTCCTGTCGGAGTCCTTCCTCTGGGCACTGGGAACGACCTGGCTCGAACTCTCAACTGGGGTGGGGTAAGAGCTGCTCTCAGGGGTTCCCCATGCCACACAGCACCAGGGTCCCTCAGGCCACAGATGTCCTCATGGAAGGTCAATATGCTGTTATTATGTAAGGAGTAAGTAAGAGTCAAGAGTGATAAGCACTATTTTATCTGGTAACTTATAATCAGCTCAAGAAGAGAACATTTGGGATTTTTAAAAAATCAGGGTTAGTACACATGCCTGGGGCTTTCTGAGCTCTCCATGAAAAGACAGTGGGTGGGTTGTCCTCAGTAAACCAGTCATGCAGACCTGAATGGCTCCTGACCCTCAGCCCTGGCCAGGGCAGTAAATGTGATTCAGATTCACAATCTTTGCTTTGGGAAAGTTATGGCTTTTTTTTTAAGTATTTGGTTTCTCTGGTTAGTGTCATCCTGGCTGTGGCTGTATAGGTGACTGACTGTCCTTTCCACTCCGGAGCCAATTTCCGACAAAGCTTAGTAGAGGCAACTTATCTGTCACCAACCAGATAAGTTCCTTTTTAAAAAAAAAAACACTGAGTTAGTAAGAAGGCACAATGTCCTCACAGATGCAGCCCACTAGCTTTTTCTCTGCTCATAAGAGACCATTGCGCCATGGAAATTATCTTTAGATATTAGAAGGCATTAATTTGGCTTTCCATGAATAAATTAACCTCCCATAGGTCTTTTTTTTTTTAAGTTTAAATGATAAGTACAGGGTGGGGCAAAGGTAGGTTTACAGCTGTGAGTATGCAAAACAGTTTATTCTTGTATTATTATTTCTTAATTATTGCATTGTTTTCTATATGAACCACTGTCAGCCTGCTTTTGCCTCATCCTATATTTATGTGAAGCAACTAGTGTATTATCAGTGTTAGTTCCTGTCACCCAAATCAGTGACTTGACAACCCGTAATGACTATGCTCTCAGTGACGTGTGCTCAAGGAGTAAGGGGCTCCCTGATAGGGCTCTTCCTCAGTCAGACTTGCCTCGGGTCACGGAAGGAGTGGTGTGCTCCTACCGGGTAGGGAGAGGTGAGTAAGGTGAGACGTGGATAGAAGAAACTGCCTATCGGAGCCTGCTTGGAGTCCTTCTCCCCCTTCCCATGCACGCACTTGCTCTGTGTATCTCACCGATTCCTCTAGTGGGAGGTCTGGAGGGGTCCTGTTTTCAGTCTGATAAAAGCAGCCATTCCACATGGACCCCAAAACCTACCAGCAACTAGCGGTTTGTGGTGTCAGCAGAAATGACTCCTCAGCTCAGACCAGCTGGTGTTAGCATTTCTGTGCACATTTCCTGTGGCTCTTGTCTTAAATTGTACAGTTTACTCTCCCAGACTTGCTAATTACAAAATAACTGGAGAGCTATAACAGAGGGCTCTTCTTTGCATGACAGACCTTTGGCTGGACCATTTGTCAGTCCAGACTCCAATGCATGTGTTCTTTGATTCCTTAGGGCTACACTGATGAGCCTGTCTCCAAGATCCTTTGTCAAGTAGAAGATGGGACAATTGTCCAGCTTGACCGCTGGAACCTCCACGTGGAAAGGAACCCAGACTTGCCTCTAGAAGAACTTGAAGATGGCGTGTGCAAGGTCAGAGAGTTCTTTCTTTCTCAGAAAGAAACCCCAGGGGCATCTGTCCTGGGAAATAACACTCACTGCTGGAGAGTCATGCCCTGATTTCTTCCTATGAGATAACAGGACAGTGTTTGAGTTCATGGCTGCCACAGCTATGTGTATAACGTTACCCAGTTACCCTGCTTCTAGAATCAGGCTTCTAGAGATGTACATTTCTGCCTGCTTCTAGAGCTCTGGGAGCTGCTCTTTGCCCTCAACTTCTGACCAGGAAGGCTTGTACCCATGTTCTAATCTTTCGAGTTCATTTCAAACTCTTAACCTATGAGAAGATGAAATATGTATGTTCTGGAGCGTTAAGCACATGGTCTTTCAGAAGAAGGATAACCTTCTGAGATTTCTGGCCTGATATCAAATATCCTGAATGTTTAGGAAGTATTAATTAAGCCAGTTTCTTGACTTGCTTGGAACTTGAAGATGCCTACATAAATGGGTTTTATTTAGGGCTTTCCCTATAGCGAATGAGTCTTTATTTCAACCCAAGGGAAACCAAGGGGCACAGTTGTAAATATGCTAGTATGGAGCTGCCGTGGAACATTTGGTTCTAAGTTCTGGCCTCAATTTCAGATACATTTGGTAGGTAGCCAAGTAGCCACTTCTTCCACATTGCTTTCCCCTTTGTTTTCTATGACAGTGTTTTCGAACTTTTGTATGCTCAGAACCTCCAGGCGTGCTTGCTAATCAATGAAGAGAAGGAAGCCCAGTCCCAGGGACGTTCATGAAGTAAATGCAGGGTCAAGGTCTAGGCATCTGTGCTTGAAACAGCATCACTGCGCTGGATCACGCCATTGATTTGGGCCAAGATTTCATGGGTGTTTCAACCACAAAATAGATCAAACCAGATAGCATTTTCAACCAAACAAACTGACCTCTGCTTATTCACTAAGACATATTTTGCCTTCTCTTCACGTTTTTTGTTTCTTGTTTTCACCTAAACCACAACCCAGCTATTATAAGGTTTTTGGTAGACATCATGATTGCTCAATTGATCTTGAGTTCATAATGTCACAATGATGTTTAAATAGCCCTTATGCCTTGGGATACAATACTTCTTTCTAATGTATTGGACAGGAAACACTCAAAGTAAAAAGAAGTGCGCCATATGGAAACTTTAAGGTCCTTTTGCCACTAAACTGAGAGTGGTTAGGCCCTCAGTGGAAATCTATATTTAAGTCTTTTCCCAACAGCTCAAGAAATGGAAAGACTTCTTGCTGTAGCCAGAGAACATTAATCCAGATAATTAAAGGCCAATGAAAATGGATTTTTGAAGGGATGTGTAGGAAATTGGGACCATTTTTCCTGGAAAATACGAATAAGGACGTAATAACAGACTAAATTGGGATATTACTTACAGGATGGTGACCAGATGTCCCCCTGAGTTATCGGTGGAGGCTAAGACACAGGTTAAAATTGTAGCCAATGGAACATAAATGGTAGAGTCAAACATATCTGAGCTCTTGGCAGGATCCCGAACCCTTGCTGTCATTATAAGGACTGGTATTTTGTTTAAGTGCAAGAACTGGACATTTTCAAATAGGAAGCCAGGAAAGTGAGACAGGATTTTGGCACTGTTTTATGTGTTCAGTTTCTCTCCCTGTTCTCCAGTTAGTCGTAACCATTCCTACGGGCCGACTTGACCTCTGAATCATTATTAGCTCTGGCCCAGGGCCTTCCATGGAGGGGTTCACCCTTTATATCCATTAGAGGCCAAGGCATCCCACTTTCTTTCTTTCTGTATTAATATATCTCTCCATTCTACCTCATTTCATTTTTCTCTTCTTGGCACAAGGCTTATTTCTGTTTTTCTCTTATTGGGGCCAGGTTGTCACTCTTGTCAAACAGAAACTCTTACTGGTCAAGGGGCACATGAAACCCTGTAAGAAACTTCCTTTTGGAATCTTGAGTGTGAAACACTTATTTCTAATAGAAGAGAAGAACATTTCTAACCTGATCATCATTTGAAAATGTTATTTAAACTGAGGTAAAATGATGTCTCTATTTCCTTTAATGTTTATGTTTCACTCTGAGTTGTAGAAAAGGAAGGGAGAGAGTCACCATTTCCCTTCTAACATTTTCTGCCTGCCTTTCTAATTGTTCTACCATTGAACTGCAACCTTAAAACCACATTAATTTTGCAGTTTTAATTCAGGATTTTAGGTTGCATGGTTCTTTCACTCAGCGAGCAGCAGTGGCAGCCAGTGACCCAGAGGATTCCAGGAAGGAAAGCTAAGGCTTGTGTGTGCATCTATGTGTCCGTGTGTGCATATTTCATGGTAACATTAATGACAGAGGCTTTGAAGGCGGGAAAGGGTGTCAAATGTATGGCAACAGAAGGAGACCAGCCTTTGGGGGCTGGGTACACAACAGAGTGTGTAGATGTCATATTATAAAGTTGTCCACCTGAAATCTTTAATAAAATTACTAACCAGTGTTATCCCAATAAATTTAACATAAAATACAGGGCCCAGCAGAAGTAACGCCTGCTTGAGTGTGGTAATAATATGGGTGTAATGATTTATAGTTTTAATTTGAACATTTCACCTAAAATGTCACGTGGTGTGCTTGAGTGTGATGTTGTTATGTTACAGAATGACATGCTTCTGATCTTATAATACAAAGGGGGTGTTATTTGTGGCAGATTCTGTGAGTAAGACTTGGTAGAGTAAATCTGGATAATGCCAATAAATAAATGTATATATACATACATATTTCTTTTTCCCTCTAGATTGAGAATAGCTGAATATCTCTCGCTGCCTTATTGCTTATATGACTTTGGTCAAAAATATTTTTTTAGAAAATAGGTGAAGAGTAAACAAATGAAATATTCAATGTAAGTTGCAATAGTAATATGTTGAACATGATTCTTGAAAACAATGTATCCACTGATAAAGTAGCTCAGACATGATCCTGACAACTGAATTTACTTTCTAAGTTTGAGCAATGAATCATTCTTCATAATTCTTGCAGACGTGTATCCCTCAGCTTCATAAGGTTCTCTTATCACAGCATCTACAAGAATGGTTCTTGTTTAGTACTTTATATTTGTATTCCTTGTTTCCTATACTATTTAAAATTCTTGGGAGAATTATTTGATTTGAGCTGTGATTAATGAACTAATTGAAACATCCCCGCCCCTTCCTGGTAAACACCCTCTACCTGGAGCTATGGCTGACCTCTGTCTCAGGGACGGCACCAGAGGTGGGTGTCTGGCCTTAACTTTATTTCTCTCTTCCTGCCTGGTTGGACACAGCTTTACTGCTCCCTTTGTTTGTCATTGCAGCTTCCTCTGAATGTTTTCAATAACTACTTCAGCCTTGGATTCGATGCCCACGTCACACTGGAGTTCCATGAATCCCGAGGTGAGGACCACCTTCCGTCCCTATCTCCCTGGGCGGCAGTTGCTGGCAGGCATTTGTTTATGTTCCCTTTTGTTTCCTGGTACTTACAAGTTGACAGTGTTGTTTCATTGTGACCTCCATGAGGACCCTGGGAGACAGACAAGATCAGAACTCATCACAAATAGGACCCTGAGGCCTCATTGTTTAGAGTTTCAAAGATGGGAACAGATGGGACCAGTTGTGTGCTCCAGATGGCTACTCTTCAAATTTGACCAGAAGGTCTGAAGTTAGTGAGCTACTAAGGAGTAAGAAAGGTGCTTCCACTAAAGCCATTGGGACATGCACAACTTCTCAAACCATCAGATACAGTGCACCCCTCTATAACCAGAGCCACTGAAACCTGGTAGCAAAGCACAGAAGCCCTGCCTGTGTGTGTCAGAGAGACAATAGGTAGAACCATGGGGGCCTATGGGTGGTTTGGGTTGCAAGAAAAGGGTCTGGTGGTATTTGGATCAGGTTTGGAAAGTGCTAGAAACCCTCCCTGGATGACACAGAAGGGTGAATGAGGTGGACTAGTTGATTTCAAGCACCAACAGAGATGGAGTCAGGAATGGGAGAACCAAACAATTTTTGAAAGAGAAATAAGATGGAATCATGACACGGGTAAGTATTTCATCAACACGTTTTTATGTCATTCAGAACTGAGAAAGTTGAGGTTTTTGCCTCGTGCTCTGTAGTATCGATCTCTCTCAGTTTCTCTTAATCTCTCTTTTTCTCTCAAGCTCTTTCCTCGTCAATGTAACTACCTTATGCACCTCTCTGTCTCCACCTGTGTCTGCTGCTAAGTCTGTCTTTGTCCTTCATGAATGTGTCCACATGTTGCCAAAATACTGCTAGGCAGTCCTGGTAGTGAAAATATGTGAGATGAAAGTCACAAACGAGGTTATTTTACTTAGCTTCCTCCTCATATTTGTAAGGACATAAGTGGTTTTAACTAACAGAATTTGAAAAACAGGGAAATAAAAGCTAGAATGTGAAAGTTCAGATTCCAGTAATAATGCAGAGAAAATTCTGATAACGCTCTTATGCACTGAATGGTCAATAGTGGAGCTATAGAATTCAGGATGTTAGAATATAAACTGTAAGCGAAGTCCAAACTTACCATTTTCGTCATGAATTCAGCAACTTTGGTAGACTTGTCCTTCCTGGAGTTAGGAGGGTTCAAGGGTCGAATGCTTTGCCAGTTGAAAGCAATGCTGTTCAAGAGATGGCCCTAGTTTGAGCTTTCTCTCTGATTAGCCAGAAAATCACAGATAGAAAGGTTGATTGATAACAGAACCACAAACACCAAATACCCAAATCACAAATTCCACCACTCTTCCCGTTCTCTGCAATAGATAATTCTTGGATATCAGCTAGCAAGAGGATTCTCCAGTCGGGGCCAACATTTATAACTTGCTGCCCTTCCTATATTTGAGGAGAATTGATTTGGAAAAATAAATGGAGATTTCTTTCTCCATTTCTTACCCCATTTTTCCCTTCGTTTTCTTCAGCAGACCCTAAATCTGGGCTTCTGAGTGAAATTCTTAGTTTCTTAACCTCTAAAGTAATATAATTCACTAATGTATGAACCTCCCGAAGTAGACATTCTGGCATGAAAAGAGGCCTAAATGAGTAAGTAGCCAACAATGAGCTCATTCGAGGGAACTTAATATTTGGTCTAATTAATCTGAAAGTTATCCCAATACTTTCCCTTGTACTGTAAGGACATTTCTGTGCCTCAGAGGGAGAGGGGAGCAGAGAAAGGCCTCAAGGTGGAAGGACCGGGAGTACAAGAGAGTTCTTATGGGGAAGTGATTTTTTCCTTTTATTTTAAGCTATGGGACTATTTCATTTTAGAGAGGAATATGCAGATTGTGGTTGTGGTGTATTTGCATGTAAACATAGTTTTCAATGTATGTGATTACAAAGCAATTAATGAAAAGATGCTGCATGTTAATTTTGAATACTTCATTGCTGAGGCTTAGTGTAATTGCTTTCCTGCAATGTGAAGTGGATTTGCAAACATTTGCCTCGCAGGTAAGCCAGACCCCTTCAGGCAAACTAGCCAGTGATGAACTTATAAGGGAGAATTAAGGTCACCTAAGAGTAATAGCTACAATATTCATGAAGATTATACACAGATGGTACAAAATAATATCCACAAAATACTGCAATGAGGTTTGACTGATACGCCTAGACCAGAGGTTCGAGCTTCTTTGAATCTATTAATGTATTCTTTTTGCATTAAAGAAAATCATTATTTATTATAAAAGCATAATTTCGCAAGCTAAAATCCCTTTTTTCAAACTGTTTTTTGTTGACTTAGATTTTTTCCATATTCTTACCTGGATAGTCAAGAAATCTCCAGCTCAGCTGCAGAAGGAAAAGAAAAACAGCAAGGCCACATTTTCAATAAGGGGTGAATTCCCTTGGTTTTTTTTGGTAGTGAGTGGCTGTTCTCCAGCCAAAAAACTCATAGCTGCGACTTCAAACTGTTCTCAAACACAGCCACTCACAGCATGAGACTTGATGATAAAGCTTGTATTGTTTGTATAAAGTACTTGGAATTTGACTCCAAGCCTCAGGAGAGCTATTGTAAAAATGCTTGACTAGAATAACCTATTGGGAATCAGTCAAAAAAAATAGTGCTTTAAATTGGGAATCATGCCAATCAGTCTACATGAAGTTGGAAATAGATAGATGTCTCATGAGGCAGAGTTTTTAAAAATTTAAATGTAGAAACAGTTTTTGGCATCATTGGAAAATAGCCCATCAAACTGATATGGGACAGATGCAGATTGTAGCATTGCTACATTTATTTCTTCTAGAAGGGACAAATAAAGTGACATTTATTTTGAGACATTTTATTGGTGGCAGTACTATATAAACCAATGCTTTTAGAATGGCCAGTAGAAAATCAAACAAGGAGATAATACAGTCTTAACATTGTGATTGACTTTGCATAAAGATTGTAAACATTTGAATAACTTGGGCTTATATATTTGATCAGAAAGATAGGAAAGTTGATTTGCTTGGAAAAGAGATGCTTTCTTGTTCTTCTCGAAGTGGCTACACCACACATGGTTGACTTGTTGCTGCTTGGGTATCAAAAAGTGCAATCATCGGAACAGAATTTGGAGATGTCATCGGATTCATCACTGAATTGTCCGTTGGAGTCTTGCCTAGTACTTTAGTCATTTTTGCATTATGACAGTGCTTGAGGACATACATTGAAGACATTGCAATCTATTAATCTATAGAGATGTTAATAATAATTATGGTTATCAGGTGGCAAAGTTAAGTCTCATTCTGCCAGCTATATGAAGTAGGTTGTCATTTTTTTCTTGGGCGTGAAAGATATTAAACACTTCAAACTTTTAGTCTGAGATTGGAGGTTTAAGTTTTTCTGCCTCATCGAAATTATTATTCATAGGAGTTGAACCTTCTGCTGCAAGGTCAAAGACAGGTCAATTATGTATGACTTGTGAGGAGGCAGTATTTATTTATTTATTTATTTTCACCATTTTCATGATAAAGACTATTTCCCCAGGCTATGCCGAAGTCTTTTTTTATTTTTTAAGAAAAATTATTTATTGATTATTGAGAGAGAGAGAGAGAGAGAGAGAGATTGAGACATCAATTTGTCATTGGTACTTTTACTGGTTGCTTCTTTTATGTGCCCTGACCAGGATCGAACCTGCAACCTTGGCATATGGGGAGGACACTCTAACCAACTGAGCAACCTGAACAGGGTTCTGGCTAGCTTCTTACTAGCTGTAGAATCTGAGCATGACAGCAGGCTTGCTCTGTTCCATGTTCCCCAAGTGGAAACGTTAGCTCTGAGGACTACATAGAAATGCGCAGAAACTTTCTAAGGACTCCCAGAGAGATAAAGGCTGGGTCAGGGAGAGATTCTGCTCATCTGCGAAGTCACATTTATCATTCATGCTCCCACGTCAGAGGATCCCTGAGTCTGTCAGTTGTTCTGGTTCCGCTGCTTATTAGTTGTGTGGTGTTAGGCAAGTCATTCACTCTCTCAGCCTTACCTTTCCCAGCTACAAAATAAAGGAATTAAATTAGATGACCTCTGAGTTCAGCCTTGCCTTACTTATGGCCTTTGGATTTTTCCCCCTTTTCTCTGCCTCATATATAATACCTAGGATAAATATTTATTGATCCTACAGGCAAGGTCTTGTACCGAAAGATAAAGAAAAACCAGAGCCTTCTGTTTTAATGGGTGCTGTGATTTCTAACATGCTCGTGGGAAATATTTTCTTGGATCGTGGTATGTTAACAAAGGGGCAGATGGGAGAGTAAAACAAAAGCTCTCGTCTGTCACACGGGGCATAATAAGATAATGAAAAGGTATCCAGCTCTTGTAGTACTGGCTTGGAAGGATCCAAGTTCCTCACTTTCGCTTCCGCCTTCTGAAGCAACCAATGACTATGCAGTCGTTCGCGTTAATCTTTTTTTTTTTAACTTTTTTTATTGATTATGCCATTACATTTGCTCTATTCCCCCCCTCCATTCCCCTCCACCCTGCATACCCCTCCCCCACCATTTCCCCTTTTAGTTCATGAACACATGTCTCAAATTCTTTAGATTCTGTATTTCCCCTACTATTCTTACCCTCCCCCCTATCTATTTTCTATCTACTGTCTATGCTACTTATTTTCTGTACCTTCTCCCCCCTTCTCCTCCTCCCACTCCCCTGTTGCTAACCCTCCATGAGATCTTCATTTCTATGGTTCTGCTCCTGATCTAGCTGTCCTCTTAGTTTGCTTTTGTTTTAGGTGTGGTTCTTAATAACTGTGAGTTTGCTGTCCTTTCACTGTTCATCTTTTTTATCTTCTTTTTCTTAGGTCAGTCCCTTTAACATTTCATATAATAAGGGCTTGGTGATGAACTCCTTGAATTTGGTCTTATCTGAGAAGCACTTTATCTGTCCTTCCATTCTAAATGAAAACTTTGCCGGGTAG